TATTGTGCACCTTCTGGAATGGCGCTGTCTGGCAAGGTCTTAGAAGTGATATCAGCTCATTAAATTAAGAGTCTTGAGAACTGGCACTCAGGAGTTCCTGAGACAGCATCTTATTATTTGGCTTATTTTTCTTTATATAATTAGGAGATATGTAGGGAGGACCTAGCGTGTGCAAGGGAGTACCAGGCACTGGTGAGCAAGGTAGAAAAGGTCTCTAGCTAATGGTGCATACAGGGCCAGCAGATGCGAGATGAGTGCTGTGGAAGCAGACGTTGTCATGGTGACATTGCCATCCTGTAAGCACAGTGTCAGACTTCCAGGTGAAAAGTGGGTATTTGGTTTGGGTGGGTCTAGATGCAGTATACAGTGTAACTACTACTTTAGATTAACTGCAGAGGGTGGGGTAAGAGGCAATCAAAATTGTAGAATATTAAAAACAATACAATGTTTTGTTATTTCTAAATTGGGCTAACAGAGTAATGGCCAGGTTCAAAGCTGCATGGTAAAGCAAAAAGTGCAAGGCCTGTGAGTTCAGACAGCCCCAGTTTTGACTCTTAACTCTGCCACATGTTGGCTTGTGGTTTTGGGGAAAACATTTAAACTTGCTGAACTTCAAATGTCCTTACCTCTAAAACAGGTATAGTATTTTCTATCTTTTGGCATTGTTTATATTCCCAGTGCCTAGTTCAGTGCCCAGCGCTGAATAGAGGCTCAGCAGTTGGTTGTTGGCAGAAAAAAAGAAAGGGTGGATGGTTGGATAGCTAGTTGGGTGGCTCGTTAGATGGATGGATGGGTGGTTAAATAGATCGATGATTGATGGATGGATGGTTGGATGAATGGATGAAGCAATTACTATGGATGGAGAAAGACTGAGAACCTCTGTGGTAAAAGATTATAAGTCATCTATAACAAGTCGTATTTGCCCTATTAGCTTGAAATTTGCCAAACTAGTCTTCTCACTTTGAAGTTAGTGGGGATCAAATTAATAAGCCATAAACCTCTCTTTTGTCATCTCATTCATATCAAGGTTATAAATAACAGAAAAGAAAATATGACTAATATGGCCCTAACAAGTAGGAGCTTTTTCCCCTACATATTCAAAAGCCAGAGGAGGTCATTTCTTTCATTTGCCACTGATCTGTGCCCTTTTCATTCCTTGGATCTACCATTTTTGAAATTTAGACTTGCTTTCTCAGGGTGATCACAGTTCTGTGCTTTACTACCAGTTTCAAGTTGAGGACCAAGGAGGCATGGCTCCTGTCTTTTGTTGTTATTCAGTTGTTCAGTCATATCCAACTCTTTGTGACCCCATGGAACTGCAGCACGCCAGGCTTCCCTGTCCATCACCAACTCCCGAAGCTTACTCAAACTCATGACCATCGAGTCGGTGATGCCATCCAACCATCTCATCCTCTGTTGTCCCCTTCTCTTCCCGCCTTCAATCTTTCCCAGCATCAGGGTCTTTTCCAATGAGTCAGTTCTTCGCATCAGGTGGCCAAAGTATTGGAGTTTCAGCTTCAGCATCAGTCCTTCCAATGAATATTCAGGACTAATCTCCTTTAGGATGGACTGGTTGGATCTCCTTGCAGTCCAAGGGACTCTTAAGAGTCTTCTCCAACACCACAGTTCAAAAGTATCAATTCGTCGGTGCTCAGCTTTCTTTATAGTCCAACTCTCACATCCATACATGACCACTGGAAAAACTGTAGCTTTGACTAGACAGATCTTTGTTGGCAAAGTAATGTCTCTGCTTTTTAATATGCTATCTAGGTTGGTCATAACTTTTCTTCCAAGGAGCAAGTGTCTTTTAATTTCATGGCTGCAGTCACCATCTGCAGTGATTTTGGAGGCCCCCCCCCCCAAAAAAAAAGTCTGTCACTGTTTCCATTGTTTCCCCATTTATTTGCCATGAAGTAATGGGACTAGGTGCCATGATCTTAAGTTTTCTGAGTGTTGAGTTTTAAGCCAACTTTTTCACTCTCCTCTTTCACGTTCAAGAGGATGCATGTACTCTGCATATAAGTTGAATAAGCTAGATGACAATATACAGCCTTGACATACTTCTTTCCCAATTTGGAACTATGGTTGATTCTAACTGTTGTTTCTTGTCCTGCATACAGGTTTCTCAGGAGGCAATTAAAGTGGCTGGTATTCCCATATCTTTAAGAATTTTCCACAGTTTGTTGTGATCCACAAAGTTTGTTGTAATCCACGCAGTGAAAGGCATTAGCCTAGTCGATGAAGCAGAGGTAGATGTTTTTCTGGAATTCTTTTGCTTTTTCTACGACCCAACATATGGCAATTTGATCTCTGGTTTCTTTGCCTTTTCTAAATCCAGGTTGAACATCTGGAAGTTCTCGGTTCATGTACCATTGAAGCCTGGCTTGGAGAATTTTGAGCATTACTTTGCTAGTCTTTTGCGAGGAGACAGAATTGTCCTCCTCACAAGGAGGCACAGCATCCTCATACTATGTCCCCTCAGGACTTACTGAGCTGACAGCAATGGACACCCTTAGGCCAGTGCTTCCACCTTTCCTGAGCTCATAGCATCCGCACACAAATAGACTAGGGTTCTTTTAGCAGGGAAATGTTGAGGGCTATGTGGAGTCCTATTTTCACAGGAGTGAACTGGTTTAAAAAAAAAAAGCAAAAGTTCAACTTTCATAGGTATGATTATCTTATGAAACTTTGTAATATGTATTAAGAGATTCAGAGTTTGCAAGACACTAATTAGGGTGTTAAGAGTCTGCTGGTTTTAAGCTGGGTAGAAATGTTTTTGTGACTATATGTCTCTTTATTGTGTGTGTGTGAAGGTCTTTTTCCTCCTCTTCTTTTTTGAGCGGCAGAAGCAAAGAGGAGGAAGAGTTAAAGTAGGAAAATATTTTCTGGAGTTAGTGCAAAGCCTCTGAAATGCTGCAACCCTGACTTGCCAGAAGCCCTGTGCTGAAACTGGCCAAAAAAACTGTTAACAAAATACTTCCCAACCAAGCTAAATGAAGAGAAGAAAATATAAAACAGTATGGGCAGAGGCGGAGGGGGTAGATACTCTGAAAGGAGTGTTGGCAGTGAAACTTTGCAGAAAGTACAGGAATTTAAGAGTTGTTCACTAGTGTGCAGTTTATGCTGGCTCTGCTCAGGTTCAATGCTAAGAGAGCAGAGGAAGAAAGGACACCACTTGCCTAGCCTGAGAAGGATGCAAAGACTACAGCAGGATTAAGCCCAGAGTTACGTACACATACACACATTCTAGGAATCCAGATTGTGGTTTAAACACACACACACATATAAACACATACCCACACACACATATATGAGTATATCAAAGTATTTTTGTGGAGCTTTGGACTTGGATGACAAAATTCTTAATAATCAGTGTCTGCCATTTTCCCCTTTTGGAGAAGAAATCCAACAACTTACATTCCTAAATAAATAGGATTTCATGTCACAGACATCAAAACTTTTAAGCTTTAAAAAAATGCACATGTCAGTAGAAGTTCACCAAGACTTGCAGTATTTGATTTATTGCATTTCATTCACTGAAGAGGTAAAAGGGCAGAACTGATACCAATCAGTGTTTTATGTTTATGCTATCTTTGCTGTTAGAATTTGACCATATCCCTGAACTGTGCTACTTCTCAAGTGACTGGAGATGAATAATATCCTGTTTTTATATAAGGATTTCAAAATCTCACGTGTAAAAGCTCCCGAAAGATGACACTTTAAGAAAAGGAAGAAAAGACACAGTAGACAAATGCCAGTTGACTAGACTCTCTAAAGGGGAGGTTTGCCAAGAGGCCAAGGAGAGAAGGGTGGAATTCAGAGAGAGATACTAGTCTCTACGGGGTTGCATTCACTGCCACACTGGGAAAATGCCAGAGGGCTGGGAATGGCTGTCCCCTCGGAGCTCACACTGACCACTTGGTACCTCATCATAAATGGAGCTCATTCATGAAGGAAACACTGCTCTTCTGAAAAGCACCCATATTGAAGAAGCAACCAGAAAACCCAGATGTATAGGGGATGCCTGGCAAGAGGGATATGTGTCTCCTCCTTCCTTCTGTCTCTTCCAAAGAGTTTCCTTAATATTTCCCAGTATTTTCTGTCACCACTGGGGCCCAAACTCCCTGGAAGCATACAGCAAAAGTAGTGTAGCCAGCCACTTGGCATTGAAATCCGAGCCAGCTGTATTCAGAATTAGCTGAAAGAAGCACTGCCACTATCATAAATAAGGCAGACAGTTCTCTTTATTAGTTGAATTCTCTGAGCATTTTTTGAAGATAATAAAGCTTTAAGGCTTTAGTAAGAGGCAGAAGACTGTAAAACATGTCAGATGCTTAGTAAAAACTCAGAGTATAGCTATGAGTTTGTATGCATTGAACTGGGTGACCACACCACTGACCCCCAAGGGGATGGGGCACCCTAGCCCAACCCCTGGTAGGGTGTTTGAAGGAACGGCAGACATACCAGAATCTAAAATGTGTGTGGGGGGTGGGGTTATTTAAAAATCATGTCTTATGATTCACTTGGGGAAAGGGGGAATATTTACTTTCATAACACAAACATCTGAAAATCAAGTTCAACAAAACATTTCTGGTTAGTTGACAATATGCATTCATTCAGTAACAAAAAAAGTTATTTTATGGAATGCCTAGTCTGTGTCAGGCGTCGCCTCAGGCACTGAGGGTCCAGCAGGGAGCAAACAACGTCCTTTTCTTGTGGAGTTTACATTCCAGTGGAGGACAGGGCTCATAACTCAATAGGACAGAAAATAGAGTGCTAAGTACTATGAAGAAAAGCAAATCCGGGTAAGGGAAGAGAGAGATGACACTTGTCAGAGACCAGCAGGGAGGCCACCAAGTGTGCAGGCCTGTGAAGGCCACCAGCGTGAAGGATCGCTGTCGAGGCTCGAAGCAGAGCTTGTGTGGTGTCTCTGAGGAAAGGGGGGGGGGGGTCATTGTGACCGGACAGAGTGACCCGGTCCGGTTCCTACAGAGCCTGATAGACAAAGGGTTGGCAGCAGTGGGTGTGTGAAGCATGCTGGGAAGCCATTGGAGGGAATTAGCAAAGAATTCTAATTCTTCGATTCTAATTCTTTGGGTCATCTGAGGACGCCAGTGCCCCCTGCTGGGAGGGAGCAAGAGATGTTACCAGGTGAGAAATGCTGCCTGTTTGGACAAGGAAGAAGGGAGGGGAGGGATGCCGAGATGTGACTGGATTTGGGAGATGTTTTGGAGGTAGGGCTGCCAGGATGTGCTGGCAGCTGACTGGACGTAGAGTAGGTAAGAATGGAGCCTAGGATGACTGAGGATTTCGCCTTGCGCAGGAAGTGTGAATGGTGGTGTCCCACTTTCAGCACTGGCAGCCCCAGGAATGAGCCATATGGGGAGGTTATTAATTAGGCTGTGGCCTTTGTTGTAAGTTTGAGATGCCTAATAGGCTTCACTGAGGAGATGTTAAGTCAGAGAAGAGCCTGGGAATGGACTTGTAGATTTTAAAGATTTAGGGAAGAGGGGAGAATCCAGCCAAGTGGTAGATATCATAGTTTCCTAAGACAGCTTAGGAAGGACACATCAGAATCTGTTTGGGAAAGGGAAGGAGAAAGTTTTTATGGTTATCAAAAATGAGTGTAAGTTTTAAAAGGTTAAAAAAGACTGTCTTACATCATCAGTATCTGCAGATGTTCCCAGAATCAAGAAAGACATATTCATAGAAATAAAAACTAGCTTTGCCAATAGAAGATAAATAGGAAATAGCTGATCTCTGAACTGGCTGTTCTGTTGAGCTTCTCCTAGACCACTGTGAACTTCTTAGGTTTAGATAGATAGAAATATGTACATCTAGATTTTTAAAATTTTATTGGAAGCCTAGGATGTGTTAAATAAAGAACTCATTCTTGTGGGAAAGAAAAACAAATACATGGAAATTTAAAGTATGGTCTGTGTAGTCAGAGGACCTTATAATCAAGTTGTCCATGCAGACACATTAAGAAATGAGATACATGAGGGTTCAAGGTGAAGGTTGGGTGTGGAAATGGCTAACCCACAGTCAGAATGTTGCTGAACGCCCTGGACTGCCTTCAGAATCATCCCAGTGGTATGGTGAGTGGCAGATCTTTTTTCCTTGGTTCTGGGTGGGGGTGGGGGTGCAGTGGGTATACGCCGGTATACTTCCCTGAGGAGTGTCAGCAGTATGTGTCCAGAATGTGTGTAAAGTGCATGAGAATGTCCGTGAGAATGTCTGGAGTGGGGTACAAACTAAGAATAGAGGCAGCGAAGATGGCTTTACCCAGAAAGCAAGTACAAGTGGTAGGTGTAAAAGCAGGAAGTTTGTACCAATTTTCTTAGGTGCTGTCTTGTTGAATGGTGGCTTTGAGTGGATTATATTGAACATAGTTGGATTTGCTTGCTTGTTTGTTTAAGCTGTTGGTCTCTTGATAATATGGGATTAAGATGAACAATTCCTAGAAGATTCTCAATGCCCAGGCATGTCTTTGGTGGCTGCAGTGAAAGACTGAACCATCCAGGATAGTCCAAGTGCCCAAACCAGGGTGGGCTATTTCATAGCATGGCACTCATGTGACTGTGAACATAGGCAACTTGGAGAGAGCCGCTCACAGGCTAACTTGAGGACCACTTGTCATTTCCGTATCCTCTGAGTCCAAGGCTGCAGACGTACACTCACCCACAGCAAAGTCTGGCAGAGTGAAAACAAAACCTCCTCCTGTTTTTCTGACCCGGGCTTAGGGCTGTGCCCTTTGCTGCATCCTGCCCTCGTGGTGCTGCCTGACTCTGTGCAGCGGACATAACCCGAATATTTCTGCGATGAATCTCTCTGTCTCAGTGTCTGATGGGAAGTGTGTCATGGAGAGGAGTGCTATGACTAGAGAGCGAGGGTTCATGGAGAGAGAAAATAATGATTATTTTCATTATATCTGCAGAACCTCAGTTACCCAGAATACCTTGGACTTTTTAGAGGGAAGCATAGTTCTAATACACGTTACCAGTGATAAATGCTGCTACGTTTCACTCTTTTTAAAAAGTTTTGTGAGACTAATAAAATTTAACCCTACTGAATGGTTTTCTTCCTTGAATAGCTATGTTCAAGCACGATTGGATTTTGAAAATAGTGTCTTTTTTTTCCTTGAAAACTAATGAGAAATGTGTTGGAGATCATTGTCTGTTGCAGAAAAAAAAAAAAAAGAGTCTAAGGTCATCTCTCCATCCATTCCTGTTTCAGGAATCTTCACAAGGAGCATTGAGCCTTACTAACATTAGCGGAGCTTTGTGGGGGGTGGGGGTGGGGGGATGCCTTTGAAGCAGGATTGAATGGTGGGCCCTTGGCTGTTACCAGTTTGAAGTCTTTCTGCATCTTCTGCTGACTACACACCCCGGGGGCTGTTTTACTCATCACCCTGTTGCCAGGAAAGCAGTGCTCTTGAAGAGCTTGTGTTTCCTTTTATCAGACAAGAGCTGTGGGCTGTGGCTGTCTGAGTCAACAGCACTGAAGCAAAAACTCAAGTATGGCCATCATCTAATCCACAAATGCGGGTACTTTTTTTCTGTAGTTCTCCATGGCCCACTTTTTCACCCCCAATCATTCTATAAAGATTTATTAGCTGCTCTCTGCCTTTCAGATATTGCCATAAAGTAATATCCTATTGGACTTATAGTTATTGGAGACTGTGTTGATTTTGTCTTCTCTGCTTTCTTAACTCTCTGTTGACCGGTAAGAAGATAAGCCATTACAATGGGTTAGGTCTCTAGTCAACAAAGTAATGAAAATATGTTTATGACTCTGTGTGAGTAAATAGTTTCATTTATTTAAGGATGATTTGCAGTATTAAATTTGAAAGGTATTTGGTTAATTCTCAGTCAACAACAGGAAACACAGAAATTAAATTCAGACCCATCTTTTGGCTGATTACTGTGTTTGGTAAGCATTTAGTTAGTGATTCCCTTTAGCACAACAGCCAGTGATCACTAGGCCCTAAGCTAATCATTGTGCTTTGCAAATGTAATTCAGAGTGAATTATTGCAAATGATACAGGGTCCCCAGACAAGCCCCTGAGATGTCCAGGAGGGTCCTGTAGCTCAAAGAGTCTAGATTAGCTTACAGGAGGTTAGATCACAGTTAACTTTGCACCAGTTCTAATATAAAAGCCTGGGGCATAAACCCTATTGTCCACTTCATGTACCTCGCAAACTCTGAGTAGGTGACCACCATCATAGTTTATATGGCACTGAGGAGGGTTTCCTGGGACATGAGACTTTTTAGTGTTAGCGCTGGAATGTTCCAGCCATGCCAAGATGAGTTGGTTTCTCTAGTCAGATGTGGAATCAGTTAACAGAAAGGAATATCAATGAATACTGTCGTCTAAAACCAGCAACTTTTCTGTAGAATGAGATGATTCTGTCTTCTCCCCATGGGGGTAGTGATAAGGCCTGCTCACTATTCCTATCATGAGGTTGAGAAGCTGGCTGTGTGTTTTTCCTTGGAATTGGACACCAGCATCATCTCTGATGGGGCAGTCTGTCTCCTTGCCCTCCTCCAAAGGCCTGTCACCTAAGGGGTCCTTGACTGTTCCCTTTGGATGAATCAGTGCCAGCTCTTTCTGGTGTGAGGGTGCTAAAGAGCCTGAGTTCTTTCTGTTGGCCTTATGCTTCTCACTGTGGTTATCCCCTTTGGGTTTTACCTGCTACTGCTTCTTATGTAATAAGGCCTCTCACTGATTTGAAACTCTTTGCTTTTTAAAAAAAAAATATATGAAGTCTTTAATTATTTCAATTTGCCATATCACTTGGCATATACAGTTGGTTGGAGAAATGCTCGAATATTTTCTTCAGATTTTTTAAAAAATTATTGAAATATAGTTGATTTACAATGTTAGTTCAGATGTACAGCAAAGTGATTCAGTTACACACATATATATACACAAATATAGACATTCTTTTTTTCACATAGGTTATTACATGCTATTGAGTATACTTCCTTGTGCTATACAGTAGGTCCTTGTTGGTTATCTATTTTATATATAGCAGTGTGTATATTTTAATCAAGTTCTAAAAGATGCATATACCCCAGTGTTCACTGAAATCCTTACTCCCAAAATTGCAGCCAGAGCAAATGAAGGTACTTGCTTCCCCTCCAGCGTTTGTACAGAGTGTTCCATCGCTCGTGCCTCCCTCCTTTCATCTTCTGGCTAACCCTGGTCATCCTTTACATTTTCACTTTGATCCCACTTCTCCCTGGATGCCTTCCGTGACCATCCCCGGCTGGCATAGGCACCCTTCTTCTGTGTTCTTGGAGCTCCTTGGACCTAACATGGTATAGTACATGCCTCTGGAGTTGTCAGTGTCTGATCAGTCATCTCTGTGACTCATGGTGGACTCCGTGTGGAGAAGGCATGTATTTTGTTCTTTGTTTCACCCACAGAGCCTTCCGTATTGCCAGGCTCATCGTAGGTATAGTGAGGCTTATAAGGAGCAGGGCCGTGGAAGAGCTGCCAGGCAGCAGACCACTTCTATACACAGTGGCTTTGGCCTTGCAGTGACCCTGACTCTCCTTTTAGTCCTCCTTGGGAGACGTAAGCCACGCCAGGTCTTTCTCAAAATAGTTACATCCTCTTCATCCATGGACCACCATCTAATTTAGTTAGGTCTTCGTTTGCCCTATGAGACACTGAGCACATTACAAAAATACATGTGAGGTAAACAACCCAGCTGCCAAACATGATGTAAATATCAGTAGGGGAGACACAGGACCCAAGAATACTATGTAGGGTGAGGACATTCCATTTTATGTTTGTTTGTATGTACATGTCATAAAAATATTTCTCCTCTTGCAAGTTTTAATAAAATGTGAAATCTTCCCCCCCAGTTCTGAAGATCTGATGACTTGCAGGCTATATTATATTAAACTGTGAATTTTGGATGTTTCATTTCATAATGTGATCCAGATTATTTTTCTTTCTCCCTTGTGGACATTAATCGTTTCCTGTGAATTTTCCTGATATTAGGAAGCAGATGTTCCATATTTTTATCTTGAGTTTTTTTTTTCCAAATGCTGAACCAGGACTTTTATGTGTATTTGTGTGTGTGTGTTCACAGTGAATTTTTGAGGAATGAGTTATATCAGAATTCTCAAGTAAAAACAAAACAGATATATCTACAGAATTATACAGATTCGTCCAAGGCTGGAAACACTTTTGGATGTTCTGTTTAATGTAGTTCAGTATTGTTTAGCTAATGTAGACTTCTGGCTTAAGACTGCATTAGAACTGTTCCATGATAGTGTGCTTGCCAAAATAAAGAGTGGTGTAGCAGAAAGCGCACAGTTCATGCAAGCTATATTTCAATGCCCTGATCTTTAACTAAACTGTAATTGCTTTTTCCATTGTCTCTTAGCTCATAACATTCTTCCCCCATCTCCCCATAAAACACTGAGTTGAGTGCCATCTGTGTGCTGAGCAGGGTGCTAGGCTCTTTGGGAGACAGACACACACATTATATGGAGCCTTTGGTTGTTGATAAGTCACTAAGTCTTGTCTGACTCTTTTGCAACCCCATGGACTATAACCCACCAGGCTCCTCTGTCCATGGGATTTCCCAGACAAGAATACTGGAGCAGGTTGCCATTTCATTCTCCAGGGAATCCTCCTGACCCAAATATCAAACCCACATCTCCTGCATTGGCAGATGGATTCTCCCACAGAAGAGCTCAAACATGTTCTGAAGCACCTATAATGACAGGTAGAAAGTGGTAGCAGTTGTTGAAATTCAAGGAGAGTGGTTTCATGCAGCCAGAGAGGGAAGGAATACTTGGGGAAAGAAGTACTCGAGCTCAGTTAAAAAACAAAGCCACACTAACTTTAGGTCTAAGTTATTTAATTTATCATAACTACATAAAAACTCTGTAAGGATGGCCCGTAATGTGAGCCATTGTTTGAGAGGATTTGCTAAAATCATACTAAGATTTCTTGAGTGCCTCCAGTGCAGCAGGCATAGTGCTCTGATGCTGTGTAGTTGTTGTTCATTGTCCAGTTGCTAAGTCGTGCCTGACTTTTTGCAGCCCCATGAACTGTGAAGCATGCCAGGCTCCT